AGTTTTTCTTTTTATGTGGTATAAACAATAACATTTTAATGAGGAGAGAATTTTTTGGTAATAGAAAATGAAGAAGTTACCTTTCTAGGCCAAGCTCATTTATAACTCCAATAGCTCTCTCTTTCTTCTGCTCTTTAGATAATGTATTAGGTAGACGAAGCAAAGCAGCGTACGTTAAGGTTTCTTTCACAGTGAGATGGGGAAAAACAACATCATCTTGCAGCACAAACCCGATCCTGTTGAGTGATTATCGTGAACATTACATTCGATCAACTATTTAGGAGAATTTCTATCAGGACTTGTGAATATATATACCTTTGTTTCAACGACTTGTTATATGGCTGGTCATTGAAAGTAATCGTGCCACTATCATTTTTCACCTTTCCACTTAGAAGCTTGAGTAAGGTTGTTTTACCACCACCGGAAGGTCCCATTAACGCGAGAATTTCTCCTGGACAGGCTGAACCACTCACTCCTTGAAGTATGCACTTTTCTGTATCAGAATTCTCCACTCCCTTCAGTGCAACGGTGTACTTCACATCTTGAAACTACAAAACAAGTGGAAAAATTGTGATATGTTCTTACTTATTATATGATATAAAGCAGTAGAATGTTCATAAGAGATGATCCATGCATTAACAACCTTGAGACGTATACGTAAGGTAGGCTCAATCTGAATTCTATTCCAGCTGCATGAATCGTCATCCTCCTGATCCTTCGATTTCAATATATTGTTCTCTGAACAACAAACAAGGGGACTTTTTTCAGAAATCACATTCACATACATAAAAAAGGCAACCTAGCTTCTAGTATATAACTATGTGTTCACTGCCATAATTGTGGCTGCTAATTTTATGTTTCTGATGAGGAAATGGAGGATCGATCGAATGAGAAAATTCCCATTTTCCCTTTTGGAGTCTTACTTATAAGTGCACCTTTTTCATTACCAACATCACTCATCATCTCATCTATGTTAATAAGAAAATGAGAACTAAATGATCTTGCTAGACACAAAGATTTTCCATGTACTGGTGATTCCTCAGCAGAGTCTAGGCTTCGCATCTTCATTAAGCGCGTCTTAGTCTTTTTATTGCCTTCTATTTTCCGAATGCACAAACTATTCCTGTTTTTTTCAGGTGGAAAAATCTCATCCTCATCGATATTCTGCATGATGACAGCCTCTTCCTTGTCAAGGCTCTTGGAGTGATCTAGTTCTTTCCCCATTTATCGCGGTTGGTTAGACCTCAAACTGTAAACATAAAATGTGTCAGTTTAAACATAAAATGCAGAACATTCACTATAGTTTAAACAAAAAATAACTCTACTCAACATATGTTCAAGACAATCTAGCAGAAAAAGAACTAATATTTGAAGCAAAGAATTAAGAGAAGAACCTTAGGAAGATCTATGCAATTATTGGTTTACTGGCTTAAATTTTCTTGTTATTAGTTTATATAGACCCTTTTTTTTGGGGTGACAACATTGAGATCTCATATGGTTGTTTCAATTAATGCATCTTTCAATATCAGGAGAAGAATTGAAACTTTTCAGTACATTTATTGATGTTTCATTTTCACAATGTCTAGAATGTACATTTTGATTGGTCCTTCCATTAGCATTATGAGAAGCAGTTGCCCATATTTGGAATTCCCTATAACTAAAGTAAGTCTACAGTGCTTCCATAGAAAAACACCATACATATTGAATTTTGTCATTTCAAAATTTTAACTGAATTATGATTCATAAAAGTTTGCTCAAAGCAAGTTTTGTATTGCATTACTATTTCCCAAACCAAGTTGATCAACTGTTTATTGACTTTTGGTGCAATACACCATCTCCTAGCCCTTTCAGTTGATGTTATTTGACATTATGGACATGTCTATTGTTCAAGGGATGACGCATAGCCCAATTCTTACGCGTCAATAGTTATTTAAATGAGGGTCTATGAGATTTTACTGGATATGTTGTTGTTGTCGTACATATAAGAGTGCAGTCTGGTGCAAATAAACTCCGCCTGATGAAGGACTGAATCACATTTGGTCTATCATACACAGACTTACCTTAAATTGTTCGACCACTTTGGGTACAATCTAAATAGCCTTACCTTACACTTCTGCAAGAGGTAGTTTTCCACCGCTTGAATCCATGATCTGTCCTCACACGACAGTAGCTCTTTCCGTTGCACCAAAGCTCTTTGTCCTTACCGTCGGTAGATAGAACTTAAATTGGTAACTTTTTAAAGATGTGACCTATTCAAACTGATCTTCCAAACGCAGAGGCAGAGCCAGAATTTTTAGTTTATGGATTCTGTATAGATTATTTGTACATATGAAATGAATATTTTAACACGAATACAGAGTTTGAGCCAAAATTACTGGATTCTGCCAAACGCGACTAACGGTTGGGGAAACATTCACTTGTCTTATCAGCACAAAGATGCTAGCATATAAAAGACAAGCGTTAACTATTAGGAAGAGCTTGATTATGCAATGGTTTGGAGTAGACAACTTTATAATCTTCCTCAACCATAAAAAGACCTTTGGATTGCTGTTTGTTTAACTTCCCAATGTAATTCAGACCTCACTTGTGGGATTACACTGCGTATGTTGTTGCTGTTGTTGATTTGGTGTTTGAAGTTATTTGGATTGTACAACATGTACAATTAATAAGGCATGAAGAGAGTCAGTCACGAGAGGTTGAGGTCATGGACGGTGCCCTTAGAGCTAGGGCAAAGAATAGAGCATGCATAAAAGATTCATTGAGATATGCTCTCATGTCAGGTAGCAGTACCAATCTGTACTTCCTGTTTTCTCAAGGAAATCACTGTTTTTTTTTAATTGTTACTTGTTTTAAAATCATGCCACTATACCTTTTGATCATATAACTGATCTCCTCAAATATATGAGAATCCCACATGAACACATTTCCTGTTGGAACTCCAAATATTGGTTAATATTCAAATTTGAGTGGCCTATGTAACATACATACTAGACAATAAAGATTAATATATATAGCCGACCCCAACTTGCTTGGAATCGAGTTGTGGTTATTGTTGTTGTATGTAACCAATCATGATGTTCAAGTCCAACTCATCTGATTTGAGTAAACTGATTTTTAAAGGATCATAGCATACTTTGTTGTGAATTTGTCATGTTACAAGGGGCAGCCTTGGAGAAACAGTAAAGTTGTCTACATGACTTATAGGTCGCAGTTCGAGCCTTGGAAACAGTAACTAATGCTTGCATTAGGTTAGGTTGTCTGCATCACATTCACACACCTTGTGATGCTACCCTTCCTCGGACCCTGGTACTGTGAGATGCTTTGTGCAACATGCTACTCTATAATCTGCACTATTAATGCCTAGATATTACATAGTAGAAGGATTCAAGATCACATAAATCGACCATTCCCAAGATATTTCTGAAGTTATTCTCTAGCAACTATCTAGTTATCTTCATCTAGTCTCTCAAAGTGATCCACTTCCTTTAAAATTGAAAAATGGAAGTTAATGAAACCAAAGATGGCACCACATTAAAACCAAAGGTTGGTGTTCTTCACCATCATGACAGAGAAAGAACTATGTCCTTGTAAGTTCTGAATCATCACATACACATGGTCATCAAGGGATGTTAAGTCTGCCTTAAAGCTCTGGAAAGTGACTGATCAAAGAGCATGCCTAGTACGTACGTGGTGTCTCAAATTGACACAGGAAGGACATACAAAACCATAAGTACTCTTTGTAAGTGATTTACTCATTTTTTTCACCAAGACAAGGGGCAAGTTCACATATTTCATTGGCCTTCACTCACAATTTAAGGTGTTTAGATACATAGCAACCTTCAACCATGGTCAGTTACAGAATTTCAAGTTGATAAGTAAAAGTTCCTCAACTACTTCACACTACATGCACTAAACCTATAATTATTATCTTGGAAAGTCACTTTCTTTGAAGAAAATTTGAATCAAGAAGTAATAATTAGTCATTAGTCCTATCTTTCTCTAGATAAGGGGCGAGTCTGTGCTAGCTTGCACACACGTCAACAATTCAACGTACTTCGATCTCTACATTCTTCTAGTAATATATGTAAGCTTTTCCGAGTATTAAGGACACAAAAATCTGGTTTAACTTACTTGCTATTAAACGAGTTGAACATGAATCTGATGAAACTTTCAGTAACTAGAAAAAAAGATAATGATGAAAGCAAACTGCATACTTCATTATATTCATCATTTCTAGCAAAATGTTTGGTCTAAAACATTAGTGTCTTATATGTTGCCCCTACCCAAAGAAATATAGGCCCCTGCCCTGATATGTCTTTTTTCTATAACCACCAAAGGAAGTGGTGGAATAGATAGATCCTTCCAGTTTCAACCAGAAATTTTGAATTTGAGCTCTAAAAATGAAGAAGCCCCTAGTAAGGAGTGCATTCCTTATTAATGAGTCTAATGCGGAACTGGAACAAGTCTTTTCCCATGAACACTAAGAATCCAACTATATTTTAAAGTAGAACTAAACGTGAGGGTTAACGTCAAGGGAGAAGGGCAAGAGACAAGGAAAATGGTCAAGGGCCAAGGCTTCCCAAAATTAGCCAAGGCACTGCCCACCATGACCACGAGGGTCTTCACGACCTGTGGTGGCCACCATGCCCAGTGGTGCCACCCAGCCTCCCTAATGCTGCCCCAAAAAAAGGCTCCCCTTCACGAGACACTTCACGGCTCATGGTGAAGACCACGGCGTGTGGGGTTGCCTTCACCTTGTGGGGACATGTCAAGGTAGCATAGCTACTGGTCAAGGGACCACGGGCACCTTCACGGTTCATGGTGCCCTTGACGGTTCGTGAGGTAGGGCATGGGGCCTGGAATCTCACTTTAAGGGAGGGTTATTTTAGGTCATTCCTTTTTAGATGGGTATTAAGTGAGGTCGTTTTTCTTTAGTTTTATACACCTATATAAGTCATTTTTAGTCAAGATACACTCATTTACCCCATTATTATTTTCAAAACCCCAAATCAAATCACAAAGTTCATCTTCTTTCAAAAAAAAATCTCTCTGTAGAAAACTCAAGGAAGAAGAAGAAGAGGAGGAGGATCAAGCTAGTTCAACTCTCCATTGTTCAAGCTTACCAGGCTTTATAATCAAGGTATGGTAGTCCTTCATCCATGAAGTCCCTTCTAAACTCAATTGCAAAGATAGAAAATCCTCAAAAGCTAGGGTTTGACTCAAAGGCATCGATTCCTTTCAAAAACAATTTTGATGATTTGATTACATTATATTATGATTAGATTGATGATTATTATACTTTTATAAAAAAAAAATCTTTCAAGAATCCATGAAATCCTTATATTCTCAATTTATGATTTTGTGATATGGGTGAATTGTAGAAAGAAAAGTATTATGAGGTTATGTTTGAAGTAATTGAACTATTTGAATCATGTTATCATTCATGTCTAATGTATTAATTCTAGATGTGTTGACTGAATATGATCTGTGGTCCTTGAAGGGCAAAGTATGAGAATTATGTATAATTATGAGATTTATGTATATGCATTCAGAACACTTTGAAAGTAAAGTGTATGTGATAATGATGATGTTGTCGTGTTGATTGAAAGGTTATTCTCATGAAACCATGATGAACATAATGTGAAAGGTTTTCTCATATAATGGAGATTCTAGGTTGAAAGACAATTCTCACCTAATTGAATCTAAATGAAGACATAGACGGTGAAAGGTTATTCTCACACATGATCTCAGAGTTATCCTAATGAATCTTTTGGATTGATTGTCTAGTATATCCTTCCATAAGACATGAAGCGAGTAATGATTTAATTAAATATTTTGTGGGAATTATGTTTGGCGCCAAGTGGATATTGATATGAGATTGGAAGCCCTTACGTGAATGGAGCCCGGGTTTCTAGGAGAAATCTCTTGAGATGGATGACCTCACGAGAGTTGAGCCTGGGTATCTAGTAGCAGTCTCCTTGTTCCATAACTACGTGTGCCCGTAGTTTAATTAGCTATTTAATCCATCTAAGCTAAAGTAATGGTTCTAACTTAGGCAAGTCGGACAATTCTTTTAGGTGTGGATAACACCGTATTCCCTGTTAAGCTCACATGGTCTATGTCAGTTAAGACTAATTCTCACAAAGTCAAGTCTAGTATGAACTATGGATACTTAAAAAAATTTAATTAGTATGGGTGAGAGTATGAGCTTGTATTCATGCATTGCACAAGTATGCTTTGAGGATAGTTATGATATGTCCCCCTTATGTCATGGTGATTTATGTAATGAATATGATTTTGACTATGTGTTAAAGATGTTTGATGTGAAGACTACTTATAATGATGTATGCTTAATTTGGGTTGTTGCTATAAGTTGCTTTTCTGGTTTGATTGACTAAAAGTGAATGCTCCTTTATCTATGAGAATTAGGCTAAGAATGAGATCAAAAAATGGTAAAACACGAATGAGGACCTAAAGTGACATGCTTAGAATAGGTGGGATTATGGGGTCTTATAATGTATTACACAAGTTTGCTTTGAGGTGGCTCATGAAATATTTCTCTTATGTTATGTAGGACTAGATTTCATTGATTATGCCTAAGTCTATGATGATATCTCTTGTGCTCACTAGTTATAATTATTTTCTACCATGTTATAGTTTATGTCTTAGTTTCTTATGCTTATGACTTCCGTTTTTTTCTACTTTCAAGATGATTATTTAACTTAGCAAAGTGCATGCATTCAACTAAAATGTCTCTTTAGCATGTTTTCAAGGTTTTTATGCATGACTATCATACTTAGTGCATTTCTGTACTAATTCATATTTTCCTATATTTTTTCAAGTGTAGGGTTCAGTTCTGAAGGTGGTCCCCACTATGGCTAAAGCTTGGTTTGATTATTCCTCCTAGCTTGTTGGTAAGTCCTCATGATTTGAGTACCGATGTTTTGACTTAGTAGTTTCATTATATTCTCGTATTTCCTTTTCAATAAGTTGTATGGGATGTTTCTCTATTTTGATTCAAGTATTGTAATAGATGGCTAATTGAGACAAGTTTAGACTTTTGCTTTGATTTTATCAAAATCTTTTTATGACTTGAAATATGTTTTACTCCATAGTGTTCTAATGCTTTATGTTATGATATGCTAAGTGGCTTGCATGGGGTCTTTTGGGGTTCTATGTGCCATGTTACGTCTAGGGGGTACCCTGGATCGTGACAGACATGGTGATGCCCGAGTTAGGGACTTGAGTTGATTTTTGAACCATCTTAAAATGAATAAAATACTTATCTAAATAAAAAGAAGTTGGTTCTAAATGATTTCCTCCACTATCCCTATCATTGGAGAAAGGTTTCTTGACATGTTAAATTTGAAAACTTAATACTATTTGAAAATGCTCGATGAACTAATTAAAACTTTGTGTTGTATGTATTGTGATGTATTCATCCTCATGTCGCATATCATGATTTATGGAGATATGAGAAAGTGGAGAAATATTATCTTTTTTAGAAAGAAATGTGACATCTTACATATATCTTAACCATGAGTTAGGTGACAAGTTGATGAGATAATGAAATTATGAAATAGGTATATGGACTGCGAGTCCCTTATGAGTCCTTTTTTGGAAGATAAATATTCGACACGGTGTATACAACATGTTGTGCTACGACCTTTGTACCACCACATCACCCCATCGTTGCATCGCATTGTCCAATTTTGTTAGGTTATGTAACTTGGTTGTGTGTTGGTCTAACTATTATTCATCCTCTTATATATGTGTTTACTTTATTTCATGTTGTTCTACATAAATTGGTTATGGGACTTTTCCACGTGTAGGTGGAAGCATTTATACTTTATTTCTTAAGTTTGTTTAGTCTCTTAATATTAAGTCGGCCTAATCTAATGAGTACATGTGGATAGTACTCACCTCTTATTTTTATTACCTTTGATGCAGTACCTAGTTAGGGTGAGTTTCGTAGCAGTTGATTTGATTTAGCAAAGTTTTCTCTTTCAAAGTTGTGGTGAGATCTTGTTTTCTTAGATCGCCATTAGTTTTCATCTACTATCATTTAAAGTCTTTAACTTTCCTTTTGAAGATTTAAGATGTATTTCAGATTCTAGAAATGTATTAGATGCTCTTTCTATTTATGCTACAAAGTTTTGAGGATTCCTTGTTGTTTTTGTATCGTCTGTGACCTGACTTCCTTCCGAGCGTCTCGCATATGTGATTCTTTCAACTTACACACCATTTTGGGGATATTCTTGGGTTGTATATCATCATGACTTTGATTTTTGGATCGTGACAAACTAATTTAAAAAAGTACTTTAAAATACTTGTTTTAAGCTTAAATGATACAAATAAATCAAAAGTCAATTCAAAAAAGACTCTTTAAAAATATTCATTATTTTCATTAAATATAACAAATATAAATTGTTAAATATTTGATAACTACAAAAAGTGTTATATTTTGATAAACATAATGGATAAAAATTATAAAATCCATATTTACGAGATTTATTCTTAACCTACGCTCAAAATGAACCAAATCTATTCGATGTTGCACTTATTAAATCGTGTTACAAATGCGTTTTATTGGTTTTGAGTGCAATTTCTAAGTTGAAAGGGATATATTGCCTTCGAATATTTCGTCCCATCATATTGAATAAAACTTTTACATATAGCAAAAAAAAAAATTATATTTGTATGTTATAGCAAAGTTTGCATAATTGCGCTTCATAGCAAACATAGAAACTGTATAATTCGCTATACATATAGAAACTGTATAAAACGAAGTGTATAAAACAAGAAAGATAAAGACACTTGGGCAGAGAACTGTATAAAAAAGAAGTGTATAAAATGAATTGTATTATTATAAGTGTATAGAACGATTATATACAATTTGAATTTGTATAAAACGATAAAGAGAGAAAGACAAAAGAGACTTGACAAGGAATATACAATTGAATCGAATTGTATAAAACGAGAAAGAGAGAAATTAGATACAATTTGAAAATTGTATAAAACGAGAAAGAGAGAAAGGCAAAAAAAACTGGACAGGGGAGTATTTTTATTGTATAATTATAAGTGTATAGGACGAAAATATATGTACTTGCATGTGTATATACAATTTTCTCACGCTTTATACAAACAGAAACACAATTTATACATTTTGCTTCTGTTTGTATAAGTGAGAAAGGCGAGGGTGGCGAGCGAGATTTGGTAAAGTGGAGAGCGAGATCTGGAACAGGGGAGAGAGAGGAACAAAAATATATTTATTTATACAATTTTCTCTACTTTATACAATTAGAAACAATTTTTATACACTTGTGTTTGTATAAAAAGTGAGGAAGAAAGCGAGAGGTTGGAGGAGAGTGGCGTACGAGATATTAAAGAGAGAGGCGACTGGTAATTTTTTGCAAACTTTTGCTATGGAACACAATTAAATCAAACCCTAGCTACTCCATTTATTTTAGGTTATTAGTTTGCTATTATATACAATTTTCCCATAATTTTTTTTTCTTCCTTCCCACTTTTCAACTCTCTTATTCAATAATCTTTAACTCATCCTAAAGAACATGCATTATAACAAAAATAATTTTTAGAGGTAATCAATAAACATAATAATAAATAGTACTAAAAATTTTATCTGTATTAGTTAAGTGTCATTCGATTCAATGTGTTAAAGGCTTTAGAGGCATACATACCAAAGTGCTAATTGTCGCTAAAAATATATATTTAACGGTAATTGAGTTATTATTATTATTAATTAATTGCTGCTAAAAATCATTTTTGATATATTGTTTCAATGCCATATTTTTGTACCATAATTTCCCCATGAGCAAGTCTTGTACTAGATTATATAAACATATAAAATGCTTTTTCTCAATATAAATACAAATTTTAAAAAGTTACTGAATTCTATCGAACGCTTAACTACTATGTTGATTCTGCCCTGCCTGCAACCTAAGGTTCCCATATCTACTAAACCTATGAGTGGTAAGACTTCATAAATCATAATATATCATCAATAAACACAATTCGACCAAGAAAGAGTTAACTTGGTCCCAATGTATGTTAGCATTATTTTCTTTTTAATGTTTATCTTTTAAAAAAATTATTTTTTTATAACTAAAATTAATTAACTTTGAAATTTTATTTTTATCATTGATGAAATGATCTATAGACACATTTAAAGGTTTGCTATATATTACAAATTTTAAAAGATTATTTCTTTCTTTTCCTAACTTTGTATCAAATTAAATATGACATATAAATTAGGAGGAACAAAATTTCATTTACTTTTTTTCTTTTACGTACATTAATATAATGACTATATAGTCCAATCTTGAAAAAAATACTGTAAATTAAGCACAACCAATTAATTAGTTATAACTAGCAAAAGAACAAATGTAGGACCTGATTATTTTTTATAAAGAGACTTAGGTGTAGTTCCCTTTATATAAATAATATATATATTACTCTCAACGCTAAAATCGAAGATAAGAAACAAATAAACACAAATTTCAAATTGATAAGACCTTGACTAGAAAAGGGAAGACCTACTAAAGGTTTTTTGTTTTTAATCCCAATAATATTTAACTCTATATTAAATGTTGAAAATTTCAATTGCCAATCGCAATAATACTCCCTCCGGTCTACTTTACTTATTTTGTATTTATATTAAAAATAGATGACTCGAAATAATTAACAGCTTAGTTATAAAATATATAATTAACTTGTAGTTTTCATCTTTACTCCTACTTGATAAATATGAAAAATATTAATTATATTGTGGGAGAAAAAAGAGTATTGTACTAAAAAAAGGTACATTTTGAACTAAACATTTCCATCTCATATTTTCATTGTTTATAAATTTAAAGGGAAACAAGGACGAATATACTTCGAACTATTGAAAACGATATACAGATATTCTCTATCATACTTTTGGGATATTGATGTCATTGTCATCCAAAAAATAGAGTATATATGCCCTTCACTCTAATGAAAGACTAAATAGGGATACATGACGCAATCATATCCGTCGTTTCAATATTTAATAAATATCGGTGGATGAATAAGAGTAAAAAGGGTATATATGCTCCAGGTTTTGGACGACAAGGGCACCAATATCCCAAAAGTATAAAGAAGGGTATCTGCATATCATTTACGATAATTCTGAAATATATTTGTCCTTTTTCCAAAAATTTAAAGTATCCCCTCAAGCTTTATATACCAAGATTCAAAAATACTCTTCCTCTCCTCATATTTGCATTTAATTTTTAAAAAATGTAAGTTAGTAGTGATATGTTTTGTTTGTTGAATTCGTTGAGATTATGTAATTTGCATTGTCTTTGTTATGGAAACGTTTTCTCGTTTTATTCGGAGAGAAAATAATTCAAATCTTTGAAATATAGTGAGAGGATTATAATTTCTTAGGAACATACACGTAATTTAGTGACTTGAAATTTTTTTCATTTTTTTTTCTATATTTCTGATTTTTTGGGTTGGAAACAAGATACCAACAATATCGAACTAAGATCAAAGACGAGTTAATACCTCAGATGGTCACTCAACTATGCACTCTTCTTTCAGAAAGTCACTCAACTTTCAATTTTCACTCAAAAGTCACTCAACTATGCACTTCTTTCTCAGAAAGTCACTCAACTATGCACTTCTTTTTCAGAAAATCACTCAACTTTGAATTTTAACTCAAAAGTCACTCAACTATCTAATCTTTCCTAAAAAAGTCACTCAATCTATTAAATTATTTTTTTAATTAAAATTTATTGATAATAATTATTTATATAACACACCAAAATTTAAAAAAATAAAAATACCATTTAAACCATTTAGTGATCCACCCACCTAACCCGATCCATTAAAAA